AAGTGCATAGTTTAGTAATCTGGAAGATCTCTTCCAGATTCTCCAATATCCTTAAAATAATTTTCAAACAAATCAGATGAACTTTCAGATCATTTATCTTGTTGTTGAGCTCTCTTTCGTAAAATTCCTTTTCGTTCGTTTTTAAAGAACAAATTTAAGTTTGGATCCGTTATCAAACTCAAATCTTTCAAGGAAATTTTGTTCTCCTCACGACATTCTGACATTGCCAATTTTCTTTTTTGAATTTCGTAATTCTGATGTCTTTCTTCATTACTTTTTTTAAGAATTTCGACGAGTTGTCGATTCTCTTCTTTAATGGAGGCAAGTAATTTTATACCCTCTTCTTCATTTTTCCGTTTTGTTTTTTTCCCTATAGGTCGTTAAGTAGAAGTATCGTCAACATTGTCCTCGTTTATATTAAGAGAAAATGAAGACAATTCAGGGGATGTTGAATACGTTAAGGTGCGGTCCTCCGATGATGAAGCGGCTGTGACGATGGAATGTTAAGACCGCTTTTTCGTGTTAGGTTGTTCTGGTCGTATTAACGCCATCTCCAAATTTTTTGACATCTTTAAGCGTAGGCCAAACGTGCTCAAATTTGAACCATTTCTTGTAATTTTGGTCTTCAAATAATAGCATTTTGGCTCGGAACATCTACAAAACAAAGACAATATAACATTAACTTAACATTTGGAAGCATACATTACGAGTAATACTCACGATATCTTCATCTGATGCACCACTTGGATTTAAAAGTTCTACTTGCCGAACACATCCTTACATTTTGCTAACAGCAGCATTAATAAAATGTATTCGCTTCTTTAGAGATTTTTTGGCCAAATAAAAGTGATAAATGAAGGCAGTGTGGTGTTGTACTCCTTCTCCACTTGAGACCACAATTGGTCCCTTGATTGGTTTATCTCTACCATTGAATTTTGGGAGATATCAAGATAGACTTGACATAGGTGTACATCTTCTTCGTGTGAGTATGAAGAATTTCGTGGAACAGAACTCATTGTCGATGATGATTATTTAAAAGGGTAACCGATATTAACTTGGGAAGTTTGAGAAATTGAAAGTAAGATCTTGTAAAAGATGATAAGCTATTTTATAGATAAAAGGATATGCAGGATAAAATTTGATTATATATGGATTAAACAGTTGAGATCTTGATGTAATCCAATATGACGGTGGAGATGAATTTGCCTAGATATCATATCTTCAAGTGGACAAAGATAAGATTTGATTATATATAAATTGAACGGTTGAGATCTTGATGTAATCCAATCTGACGGTAGAGATGAATTTGCATAGATATCCTCTCTTCAAGTGGACTAGGATATTGAACAAATTCGGGGCTTCCTTCCCCAGTTTGTACTTCATTATTTCACATTTTAATTAGGAAAATAGTAATTTTGTGGAGAATATATGGTTAAAAATGAATTAAATTTTTGTTAAATTTATGTGTAATATTATTTTATTAAAAAATGTGTGATTGATAAAAAAAAAAATGAGAAAATTTTTTAATTTAATGGAGCCAAACAGGGCTAAATTCTCGATAATTTGTGCTGACTTTGTAGACTAGCATTTGCAAAAAATTACTTGCACGATTTTAGGTCAAACTGGAAAAAATTGGCGGAAAATGAAAATTCTAATACAATTGGGGAAAAAAACGACTCTTCTATTCTAGACCCTTCATCGTTGAAGTGAGGGTGCGTAAGATTCCAAACTCCAAACTCAAAAGTGAATTAAATTTGTGTTTTTTGACAAGAAACGAGTAGAAAGATGGGAGGAGAAGGAGAGGATCCGCAGAAGTTGAAGAAAATAGCGGCGGCGTCTTACGACTACGAGAACGACCCACGATGGGCGGACTACTGGTCTAACATCCTCATTCCACCCAATATGGCCTCCCGCTCCGATGTTGTCAACCACTTCAAGCAAAAATTCTACCAGCGATACATCGTACAGTATTCTTAATTTATTTTTCGAGTTAATAGGTTTGATAGATTACTCCTGTTTTGTTCTTGGTAACTTTCTTGTGTGTATTAATCCTTGCTGGAACCAGAGTATCATTTGCTAGTGAATGTTTTATTGGGCCAT